TGAAATGTCTCTATTCCCTGATATATATGGTTATAATTTTACTCTCTAATATAAATTATTTTTGTTTTAATTGAAGTAACATTGGTTTATATCATTCTTAGTATTGTGGAAATACAGCATCTCCCCCCTCAGGTGTGGTCACCATAGCTCACCTACCACCCCAAAACCCAAGTCCTCAACATATGCTGTCTGCCCTAGACTACCTCAGTTCTATAGTCAGCACTAAAGCATTGGTTTTTACATTTGTCATTGTCTGACCCTTTGTTGGTTCACTATATTCCACATACAAGTAAAGCCATCTGTATTTATCATTCATGTGCCTGTTGACTGATAATCTGTAAGTCTTCTTTGGAGAAGAGACTATTTAGCTCTTCTACCCATTTTTTGATTGAGTTGTTTGTTTTCTCTGTGTTGGGTTGTTTGAATTCTTTATAGGCCTTCCATATCAGTCCCTTTTCAGACGTATGATGTACAAATATTTTCTCCCACTCAGTAGAGTCCACTTTGTTTTAGTTATGGTTTGATTTGCTGTGCAGAGCTTTTTAGTTTGATATAGTCCAAGTTATTTATATTCTTTTATTTTCATTCTTGCTAGCAAATTTTAGTAATGTTTGTTCCCTTTTTTAGAGAATATCACTGAGATTTTGATAGGGAATTCATTGAATCTGTACATTGCCTTAGATAGGATGGCCATTCTTCCAGTCTATGAGCAGTGAATATTCTTTGTGTCTTTATTTCTTTTAACAATGTCTTATGGCTTTCTTTGTGCTGGTCTCTCACATCCTCTGTTAGGTTTATTCCTAGGTATTTGTGTGTGTGTGTGTGTGTGTGTGTAGTAGGATTGTAAATAGGATCATTTTCTTAATTTCCTCCTCATTTTCATATAGGAAGGGAACTGATTTTGTGTATTGATCTTGTAATCTGTCACTTTGATGAATTGGTTTATTGTTTATTTTTTAAGATTTATTTATTTATGTGTACAAGAACTGAAGGTACAGGCCAGAGGTGGGAGGGAAGGGTGTGAGAGGAGTCACCAGAGACAGAGTGGAGAGCATAACAGGCAGATATACTGAAATACACTGCTGAGGGGAATAGCAGGCAGTCAGGAATGTTCTGCTGCACATGTGAATTACCTCCCTTGGTGAGGATCAAACTCGTGCTGCAGTGGCTTCAGATAGCTTCACAGTGCTGTGCTATAACCCATTGTACTGCCAGGGAGGGTTTATTATTTTAACTAGTTTTTCAAAAAAGTCTTTAAGGCTCTCTATATGCATTGTCATGTTGTCTGCTAATAACCATAGTTTTACTTCTCTTCCATTTGGATTCATTTTATAGCTTTCTTTTGTTGAATTGCTCTCCAAGGACCTCTAATTAGATGCTGAAAAGTAGTGTGAGTATAAACATCCTATTCTTATACTATATATCAGTTGAAAGGCATTCAGTTTTCCACCATTGTAAGTTTGTCATATATGACTTTTATTATATTAATTTATGCCTCTTTTATCCCCAGGTTTTTTTAGGGTTTCATCATAAATGGATGTTGAATATTACCAAATGCTTTTTTTAGCATTTATTGATTGATATCATCATATCTTTCTTTTTGTTGACGTGGTAAATTATGTGAACTGATTTTCAGATGTTGAACCATTCTTGTTTCCCTGCTTTACTACAGAGTTTTACATCTGTGTTCATTAGGGAAATTGGTCTATAAATTTCTTTTTGTGTGTGTCGTCATTACTTTGTTTGGTATTAGTGTAATGTTGGACTCATGAAATGTGCTTGGAGGTATTCCTTCTTTCTCAATTTTGGAAGAGTTTGATCAAGATACATATTATTTCATCTTTAGAAGTTTGGTAGAATTCGCTTGCAAAAACCATGTGGTCTGGGCCCTCCCTGGTGGCGCAGTGGGTTAAAGCACAGCACTAAGAAGCTAAAGATACTTCTGCATGCGTTAGATCCCTGCCTGCCCCAGTGGTGACCCACATAGCACAGCAGACCTCTCCTGACCCGCCCGCTGCTCCCCTCAGCAGTGTACTTCCTCAGTCATCCTGTTCTGCTCCACACTCTGTCCCTGGTGAATCCTCTCAGTGCCCCTGCACCTCTGGCCTGTACCCCAGTTTTGTATGCACAAATAAGTAAATCTAAAAAAAAAATGTAGTCTTGGACTTGTTGGGGGGAGCATTTTGATTTCTGTTTCATTTTCTTTACTCATTATTGGTTTATTCAGATTCTCTATTTCTTTCCTGTTCAGGCTTTGATAATTGTGTAATTCTAAGAACTTGTCCAACTCTTCTCAATTATTGAACTTGTTAGCATATGTATATTCATGGTAGACTCATTATCCTCTGAAATTTTGCATTATTTGTTGTAACATCTCCTCTTTTATTTGTGATCCTATTTATTTGAGTTTTCTCTCTTATTTATAGTGAGCCTAGCTATATTTTGGCAATTTTGCTTATATTTTCAAAAAATGTTTTTGTTGTCTTTTAATTTCTATCTCATTTGTCTCTGCTCTGATTTTTATTATTACCTTTTTCCTGCTGGCTTTGGTTTCTTTTATTCTTCTTTTTCTTGTCCCTCAAGAGGAGAGTTAAAATTATTTACTAGAGTTACTTTTTGTGCCTTGATATGAACATACATATTCCCTTTTGGTAGTACTTTTGCTGTATCCCATAGTTCTAGAAGGTTGTATCTTCTTTGTCATTTCTCTTAAAATATTTTTTTTCTTCTTTTATTTCTTTATCAACCCAGGAGTCTTTCAATAATGTATCTTTCAGTTACCACACATTAGATATTTTCCCTGCTTTCTTTTTAAATGAAGTTCTAGTGCTATATATTTATAGTCAGAGAGGATATTGGTATGCTATTGGTCTTCATGAATTTATTGATACTTGTGATTCAATATATTATTTTGATATATTAAGTTAATATAATGTTTCCCAATGTTTGTTTTTCAGAATGGATAGTAATTGCATTCTTGGCTGAAATTTTTATCTTCAAGCTTTTCTATCACTCTGATGCATTTTCTCCTTGCCCATGCTGTTTCTTGAGAGAAGTTCAATGTTAACCTGATTAGAGTTCCTTTGTAGGTTATCTGCTTCTTCCCCCTTGCCAACTTTAGTGTTCTGTCTTTGCTTTAAAATCTTGGAAGTTTTATTACTATATTATTTGGTGTACATTTCATTTTGCTTTTGTACCCAGGGGTTCTTCAGCTACCTAGATTTGTTTATTTCCTTCTCTGGGTTCAAGAAGTTTATCCTCTACTACTACTTTAAGTAATTTTTCTCCCTTTGGAAGACCATTTTTTCTAATGTTACCTTTCCTTATGGAGTTGGACATTTCTTAAAGGGTTTGTTAATTTTTATTTATTTACTTATGTGGCTTCATTTCTCTTTTTCTTCTTCTCCCTTACTTGTTTATTTTCATCATCAAGTTCACTGACTTGCTCTTCCATTCAGATTATCTACTTTCATAGCTTTATGTAGCATTTTTAATTCTTCCACTAAACTTTTTATATCCTACAATTCTGTTTTCTCATCATTTTCCATCTTCTGTTCTTTTTTTTTTTAGGACATTTGTTTGTATTTTCTAAATTTTCCTGTTTTCTCTGTGTTCTTCAAATTTCCTTCTAATGGCAAATTTAACTTCTGTTACCTGATAGTAGAAACCTGTCAATATTCTTGGATTCTGGAGATTTGTTCTCTTTCTGTGGAATAGTGTTCCCCTAAGGACTGATGTTGTCATTTGCTGAGTTTTTCTTTTCTCTGTTCTTTGCCTAAAGAGCCGTGGTGCTGATTATGCAGCCCCTTCTACTTGGGGCCTGGGATTGCTGGCTGTTGGGTAGGGTCTTGGGGCCTGTGGCTGTTGGTCTGCCTGTATACTGAGGCCAGGTTCCAGGCTCCTTTACAGTGGGATCCATATATGGTTATAATGCTATGGCACAGGTAGTCAGAGTTTTCAGGTACTTTTCACCTTTTTGCTTTTTTATTACAATGTTGTTACATAATTAATGCTACTCTGGAATCAAAATTAGATTATATTTTCAAAATAAAATAATTTAATAGAAAAAGTCTACCGATATTCTTAAACACTTTTAATAAAAATTTTTCCAAATGAAATATCAATATACCCCAAAGTTCATAGTTATGAAAATATAATTTAATTGCTTTTCTGCAAAGTTATCTGCATTTCTTTCCATAGTTACAAAAAGATGACATAGAAAAACATTCCGCAGGTTAAGAAATTGGCCCATGAACACTTGGACCAGGAGCCCTTATTCTAATAACCATTTTCCTCCCTTTCCACATTCATAAAGCAATAGTTATTTTTGAGGAAAGAAAATGAAATTGTCAACTCCAGGGCATAATTTAATCCGACAGAGACTTTATGAGTACTGTGTACATACCATGATGATGTGCTTTGGGAAACCTGACTCAACTATAAAGATGAGTTTAACTTTCCTATAGAAACTGCACTGGGAAAAGCTACTTTAATTTTATTAGTCTTTATTAAGGGGTATGGAAAATGCTACCTGGCATAAAGGGAGTGTGAGTTTTATTCCCCAAGATATTGCAGAACTTGAGGACCTGGGAAGGAGTAGTCAAGCTGCAGCCTCTGGCATGACTTTGAATTCCATGTGAGAAATGGGGCAGTGATAGCACTACACTCTCGAGTTCCCTGAGAATCAATGGAATATTTTTCCCCAAGACCGTTCTCATTATTAAATTGCAGCAAAGCAAAGTCTGAACACCAAAAAAGGCAGAGGGTCAGAGGCCTGTTGGATAGAACCCCATGCCTGGATCTCCTTTTGAGGAAGTGGTATAGAATATCAAGTTGAGCAGTGATCTTGGGAGCAAATCATCTCTCTGATGAGGTGCTGTGAGGACCAGAGGCAGGCAAGATGTCTCCAATACCTGAGGTTATAAGAGAGGAGTGCCTTGAAATGAAGAATATCTTTAGAACAGGGGCATGTGGCTAAGACCTTTCCTCTTTTATCACAGCGGAGCTGGAGTTTGCCCAGATCATCATCATTGTTGTGGTGGTCACGGTGATGGTCATGGTCATAGTCTGCCTCCTGAATCACTACAAAGTCTCCACACGGTCATTCATCAACCGCCCAAGTCAGAGCAGGAGGCAAGAGGACAGGCTACAGTCGGTAAGTGTGTGCCTGGGCCCTTCAGGTGCTGCATAGGAGTCTGTCCTGGCTCCAAAGGTGAGACCAGTGCTGGGCAAGGGTCTCAAAGCAGGACAGCCTCCCATGTCAAGCCACTTTGGCTTAGAGGTACTAGAATACCTATCAAGTTAATAGGCATTAATTTTACAAAATGAACATACCTGTGTAACCAGTACCCATTCTGGAAAGAGATGTGCCAGTTCCCCCAGAAACCCACTCATCCCCCTTCCAGACAAACTCCCTTTATAAGGTCCCTATTACCTGGACAACTGTTGGCTCAGATTAGTTTCATCTGCCTTTGAGCTTTATAACAATATAGCCATCATATAGAAAGTACTCTTTTGTGTCTGGCTTTTTGCGCTAACATACTTGTGAGATCACCTAAGATGTGACACAAAAAACTGTTCTTCAGTGTGGTCCCCTGGGGAAGTGTTCCAGTGATCAGTAATGCACTTTTCTTTAGCTACCTTCGTCTGTAAGATTCCTTGGGTCAGCAATATGTGGGAGAGCGGGAAGGGTGGGACAAATTAGACTTGGCCTCCTTGAGTGGATTGGGGTGGGTTGCCTTATGTGGGGGTGTTCATTGAACAGCCCATAGCAAGGTAAGTGTGTTCTGTCAAGTTTTTAGCTACTTACCCTGAATCACCCTTCTCCTCTAGAAAGTTAAACACCTACATTGCTAGTTTTCTGTACCTGGGAGACCAGGAGATACTGGAACTTTCTGTCCTGAGTTGGCTTCATTATCTCTGATTCTGCTAACTTTTAGTGAAAGATTTAAGAGTGATGACTTTAAGCAATTACAAATTCTTGGCTTTGGTGGTAGGCATGGAGGCAGAATTCCCCCTGCAGTACCCCACCCCTCAGGGCATGTGTCAGGACTGGGGCTATCTGATAGCTGTTGTAGGGCAACTGTCATGGGTCTAGGGGAATGGTCATCCTAGAGGTTGTGGTGGAGCAGCAGCCAGTCCTACTCAGAATGGCAGAGTTACACGCATAGGAGCTGCTAATCTGTTCAGTTAGCTACCAACTCCACAGGGCCCATGGGTGGAGCTCAGGTTTGCTGAGTAGTTTGTATCTAAGGCAGGCAGGAGGAAAGGATGGAACTGCTATGTATTATCCCACAACCCACATAGATGAGCTAGGATGCCATAGGAGACTCCCAGTGTTAACCCTAAAAAAGAAACTCTTTGCCCCTCTTGTTTTATTTCATCCGTACTTTTCCCCTTTTTGTTTCCCTATGTCCTTATTCAGACTCACAGAACCCTCAATAGCCCAGCTGCATTGCTTCTTCCAAACCTTGAAGGGTTTTGTAGGAATGTTGTCACCTCAGCAGTTTGGTACTCAAGGGCTAACTTGTCCATACCCATTAAATAATGTCCTGTTGTCTGAGATTCTCTACTCTTGTATAAGATCAGCCATGATACCTGAAGGAGGGAACTAATTCCTTTGAATTTCTGAACACAAAATGCATGTAATTCTCCTGAATTAAGTGAGAGGACAGGGAGAAAAATCTTGTCAAATCAGCAGTCTGAGGACCACAGAAGAATCCATGTTCATTGCTTTGCCTAAGCTTTAATCAAAAGATTGTGAGTGCTGACCCCTAAAACTAGATAAATTTATCACTCAACATCAGCAGGCAGCATTCTAGTTTCTACAAAGTAACTTAGGGTTACCTAAGTTCTCCATCTTACACTTTCTTCTCCAAACTCCAAAGTGCTAAAAATTGCTGCATACAGAAATCTCAGTGCCTGGTTCCCCACCCACCCCTTTCTTGCCTTGGAGGTACCTCTTTTCCACTCCAGCTCCCATGGGTAAGGGGGCTCTTTCCTCTACTCCTCAGTGCAGATCCTGCTACCCTTGCTGTCATTGCCTCATCCATTGTTACCTAAGTACCTACCCAGTGAGGGGATGGGCACCCACAGTCATACGCCAGCAAAAAAACATAGCAGGAAGGCAATTTACAATGTTTACATACAAAAATATGATTATTTTTACTTGGAATGCATTTCGTTTGGAAGTGGGTTTGTAGCGAGGCCCACTTCAGGGGGCAACAGTTTGTCCTGCTCCAGGGGCTGCTGGGCTGCTGGGCTGCAGGGCCTTTCTTTCTAAGATGGTCAGTATGTGACTTTTAGAAGTCCCCTCAGGGTGACACACTGCATGGCAGGAGAAGACAATTATTACCTAGTGATATGTCCACAGAGGTCTGTAGCTAATTTTGTTAATGAAACTGAGAGTGTATACCCTCAGAGTACCCTCACACAAGAAAAGGTAATTCCTCCACTACTGTGCACTTTTGTTTATTTGAATGACCCTATTCTGGTTGCTGCTGCTCACTGCTTGGATTTTCCTCATTTATGAAGACAGAGTGAATTTGCACAGCCTAGCAATGGGCTTTGATGAGTAGACTCAAGATCAATTTTGACATGTAACCAGACAAGTCATGCCCAGACTATAAAGTCCACTCATGATAAGGACTCTTAGTCCTGTTTATAGCCCAAAAGGGCAAGAGAGAAATCTAGATGACCTTGTGGTAGGCCACATGTCCACCTGTGGAGCTCCCTCTCCCCACAGGTTTTTCCAGCAATGTCCACCTTGTCACGTTAGACATTATTCCCTCCTAATAGCCATTTTTCTCCCCTTCCTCCTTTCAAATAGTGCCAGTTCCTTTAATACAATACCAGAAGAGTAGTCTGATTAAAATTTACACTCATGGTCTCCGATGCTGTGCAGTGTTGCTCTCTAGGGGACATTTGATGGTGTTGAGAGACATTTTTGGGTTATTACAGTTCAGTGAGGGGTGCTACAGGGATGCTGTAAACATTCTGTAACATACAGCCCCCATGAAAAATAATGACCAGACCCCATATATTGGTGATGCCCAAAGTAGAAAACTTCTGACATCGGCAGGATCTAAGCCCCCACCATTCGAGAGGTGCCTCCTGACCACTGCACTGAGATGTCAACAGAGTAAGAGAACACTTCCCACCAGCACTGGGTAAAGGGTTGGAAACCCACAGGGAAAGTGTGTGATCAGAGGGTCTTGGTCTGGGATTCTGCCTTTAGAACAGTGCCCTCAGCAGTGTCTGCTCTACATTGTTCATAGTCACTGGCTGGGCATGAGGCAGGGGATGAACAGAACAATAAAGAATAGTAAGACCTTATTGTGTCCTGGTCATGTTCAGCCCTAACATTCCCCTTCGCTTCATCAGTGCCCACCTGGTAATGCTATTTGGCATTTTCTTGGTCTTATAGGAGGAGGCCAGGGTCTTCAGTGGCTATTAGTGTATGTATGATGTGACAGTAGAAGGGATTTGGGATGAAACCAAGGAACTGCGGGCCCTTACACACCAGGTTTCCCAGCCCATGTGTACTCAGCAAAACACATAAGGCAGCTCCAAGTTCCCCTTCCAGTGTATCACCCCCAGTACTCTAAAGCGAGTGTCTGTGCCAGCCAACCTCCTCCTCCCCTGAGGGACTTAAAAGGAGCTAAGCAGGGGCTTGGCTAGAGAGCAAGGCAATATACTCTGACAGTATATTGGATGACTTTCCTCCCCTCTGGTTTCCCAGTGGAGTTAGGGGGAGAGTTGTTTTTTTAAGGAACATGTTTCCAGGAAAGGTGGATATGTGTTTGAGGTTACTGCTGTGTACATGTCTTCACTTCTGTGGTCAGAACACCAGAAAGCTTCTGCCATTTTTTGGGCATCTGAGCCCTGACTTCCTGGGAACCAAGTGGCAGCTGTGAGTACAGGGCGCCCTCTGCTGGCCTCACTGTGGGTGAGCGGCTCCTGGTTCTGAACTTCACACTGCTGGGACCCTTTCAATTGTCCCAGCCAAAGGCCAGTTTGTTCTAGAACCAGGTGAGGTCACCAGAAGCTTACTAGTGAAATGTGTGTTTAACTGATGTGATAAATTCTGGGCTATCAGCTTCTAGGTGACACTGTTGTTTAATTTTATTTTTATATCAAGTTGGAAAACTTGATAGCCACGCTGGAAAAGTAAAATCATACTTGTAAAAACCCTCAAATTGGTCAGTTTTTAACCTTTGGATTATATATTTACATATTACCACTCTTTCTCAATATATTTACATAAAATCCATGATCTGTGTTCCCAAAAATAGAGCACATATTCATGTCAAGAAAAATAAACAAACAGCAATTGGATTTTGTTTTCAAGAAGAGGCTAAACATATAAATGTTTTGACTGGGTTGAGGGAACTTGACTTGTGTGGCCCATACTCTTCCTCACAAACAGGTTTTCCTTTCAACAAAAAGGGGAAAGTAAGATTGAGGCTAGTAAAACAGGGTCTCAGTAACTCTGATATATGGCATTCATGTATCAGACATTCAGGGAGAGTCTTATAGAAAATGGCAAGTTGGACCAGTTCCTCTTTGGGAGTAAATACTAGGCTTGTCCTGGTTCTGGGAGGTTTGCTTTGTGTAGTCAAAAGCACCTTCCCTCATCAGGGTGGTAACATCACACAAACTCAAAGTGGAATCCTACCTGATCTCTGCCTTTTCTGTCCAGCAGCACATTCAGAAAGCACACACTTTCTGTGCCAACCCTCCTCTGCCAATGGAGCAATAGATGGGGTCTGTGCCCTCCAATGTCAGCAGCCTTCATTACCACTGTCTTTGAGACACTTCCAGGGGGCTTGGAGGTGGATGGGTACTGGCCCTGAATTTGGTGGAAGCAGCCATTTTGTACAAAACAAAAATAGCAACTCAAGCTTAAGTTAAATTACATGAAAAGTAAATGCTGAAATAACAGTAAGTAGGTCTATGATATAAATCCACATACATTCATTGTGAGGTAGCTTTAGCATGTTTTTATAGCCTGATCTTTGAAAATGTCTAGAATTCTTTTCATTATCTTTGACCACCAAGTTATAGGAAAACCAAAAGAGGGGCATAAATATTCCAGATACAGCTCTGCTAGATATTTGCACAAGTTGACAGAGCTCATCTCTCCTGCAGAGAAAC